TTATATTTGCATATCAGTTATTGCAATATGTTAGCGAAAGGAATGCCAATTATTGTAGTTATTTGTTTAGTCTAATGGGTTAATTGATCCTAGCTTCACCTCTATAGACTTTCAATGGAACGAATTACAGCAACGGATCCGTGGCGCAATGGTAGCGCGTCTGACTCCAGATCAGAAGGTTGCGTCTTCGTTTCACGTCGGGTTCAATTCCGATTTTTAAAGTTTTTAAATCGTATTGAGAACTTAACCAAATGAAGAAAATCCGGTTTGGAGGAAAAAGGGAACCGGTTCCCGGTTTTCCGGTCCGACTGTTCGGTCCGATTCGATTTTAAAAACCATGATTAGGGAGAGCGACGATTCAACCCAGGGTCAGAATTTTTAGGCCCAAAGTACAATTGAGTGTGTGTCAACTTAGAATTGATGCCAATTTACGAGCAAGCATTGGTGTGTAGAGTGGGAGTTTTTAACATTTTGAATGTTTATAACTCTGCAGTGAAAATCCAAAATCTGAATTGGGCCTGCCCAGAGAGAGAGAAAGATGGTTGTTGTTGCAAGCCTTGAGTCATGTTGCACCGGTCACCAATGCAAGCCTTGAATCATTGCTGCAAGACTCGTTATTCTATTGAGTTGTAGGGGTGAGCAAGAAAAACCAAAAAATCAAACCGAAATCAAACCAAAAATCTGATTAGTCGAACCAATCAGTTCAGTTTTGATTTAGTATTTAAAAAAAAAAAACCGAAAGTACTGATTTAGTTTTGGTTAATCAATATAGAAAATCGATGATTAACTGAACCAATTGGTATACATGTATTTCTATGTATTATATGTATATTTATGTGATATATTTTTTTATATATTATAAATTAATAAATATGCATTATATATAAATATATATTTATAATATATAATATATTGTCTATTATTTAAAATAAAACATTTTATATATTTCTAATTTTTTATTATATCTTTATATATTTTTATAAAATATATTGTAAATATAAAAAATCGAAAATCTAATAAACTGAACCAATGATTAACCAAACTGATCAACCGATTAATCAATCGGCTTTAGTTCAATTTTAATTACCATTTTTCCAATAATACTGGTTCGGTTCCAAACATAAGCCAACAATTCGATTAACCAAATCGTAAGCACCCCTACTGAGTTATCGCTGCTACAAGCATAAACCCAGAAACCCTCCCCTTGACCATCGCTATAAGTGGTGATTGTAAATGGCCTACATAAAAAAAGGAGCTCCAATCGACTTGAGAGTTGAGGGATGGTGTGATTGGTGTCCCATGGTAATGACATCATAGCATTGGGTAGGTTGCTTTGGTGAATTGTTTTTGAAACTGAAACGGTAAAAACCTGTAACCGAGATTGAACCAAAGTCGATTGGTTACCAGCTGACGTATTTGATTAATCTTCAGTTCGGTTTGTCAGTTTTTTAATTTTTTTATAGTTATAATATATATTATAAATATGTATTTATATATAATGCATATTTATTAATTTATAATATACAAAAAATATATAATATATAGAAATATATATATATATATATAATATAGAAATATGTATACCAATTGGTTCGATTAATCATCAGCTTTCTATATTGGTTAACCGAAATTGAATCGATCGATTCAATTAAGCGTATTTTTTAGTTCGATTTGATTCAGTTTTTCTTGCTCACCCCTAGCATTGGGACTCAATCCTTGAGACTTGAGTCTTTACTTGCTAAAGTTTAAAAAATGTAAAGTTTACACTTTAAAAAGTAGGCCCAGTTGAGATGGAATAAAGTAAAAGGAAAATTCCCGATAGGTACCCTGTACTTTAGGTTGAGTGCCAATTTAGTACCCGTACTTTAAATCGTAACAATCTAGTACCCGGACTTTCAATTTGGGACAATTTGGTACCTGACGTTAGATTTCCGTCAATTAGAGGATAAAAAGTCTTAAATACCCCCAATGCTATTTCGACTGAATAAAATAATTAAAATAACCCATCGAGCAATGCAAGTAGGAACCACTGTTCATACTTGCATTTATAGAGACGTCGAGAACCAGCTCCCTCACGCCAGTGGTGTCAGGCGAATGCACCGCCGGGAAACGGCCTAAAGTACATGATTTAAAGTACGGGTATTAGTTTCTTTATCAAGAAACTAATTGAATCTCAATAAACTGATACATCTCTTCCTGTTGTTCTTCTTCTTCCTCTACAAAAATAACTGCTTTGAATTGGAGTTCGATTAATTTTATGTTTTAATTATCTGGTCTACTTGTTTCCCCTGTAGGAGGAGCTTTGTAAACAAAGAAGAAGAGAGCATGGTGTTTTCCAATATTTTCTTTATCCTAATTATCATTTGCTTCAGTGTCGCTATCGCCGTTTCTAGCCAACATGGACTTAAGTCCAATGGTTCTTCTATTCTTGCTGGTATTGAACTCCTCGATCATCTAAGCTTCAATTCAGTCACAGCTTCGGAAAATACAAGGTGTTGTCTCACAAAAACGGAGACTTCTTCGCATAAACCAACAGAAGCAACCATTCCAGAGGAAGAAGATGGTGATGACGACAGAGATAAGATAGTAGGAGCTCCATCCAGTAAACCAACGGTGAAGCTCCACCTCAAACATGGATTGATGACTCATGGAGATGAAGCTGAGAAAAAGGAATCAGTACGTCAATCCACCCACAGAGACTTGACCAGAATCCAAACCCTTTTTAGAAGGATTACAGAGAGGATGAACTAGAACACGGTTTCAAGGTTAACAGAGAAGAAGCTGGCAGGGCTGAAGCATGTGGTTGCACCGGCAGCGGCATCGGAATCTGACACAAGTGGGTCAGCCGGAAGACTTGTGGCAACTCTAGAATCCGGTGTCAGTCTCGAGTCAAGCGAGTACTTCATGGACGTTTTTGTGGGTACTCCTCCCAAGCATTTCTTTCTGATTCTTGATACTGGTAGTGGTCTCAACTGGATACAATGTCTTCTCTTCCATGACTGCTTCGAGCAGAATGGCCCCCCATACAATTCGCAAGAATCGCCGTCCTTCCAGAATGTCACCTACTCTCCTCCCTTGATCCCCCACAACCTTGCAAGGCCGATAATCAATCCTACTGCCCCTACTTCTACTGGTACAGTGATTAGTCGAACATGACCGAAGATTTTGCCCTAGTGACCTCCATAGTGAGCTTGACATCACCAACCGGAAAATCAGAATTTCGGAAAGTTGAGAAAGTCATGTTCAGATGTGGACACTGGAACAGAGGCCTCTTCCATGGGGCTTCCGGATTGCTGGGACTGGGGAGGGGCCCCCTTTGTCGTTTCTTCAAACTTTCTTCTCTTCGTCGGCCTCTTTGTCATTCCTCCAACCTTTCTTCGCCGGCCTCTATTGTTTCTCCAACCGATTTTGAAGAGAAGGGTGGAATGGAAGTGCTAGGAATGAAGAGGAAGGTCGGCTCTCTTTTCCTCTTTCGTTCATTCAACCCAAAATGAAGACAATAGGGGATTAGGTAAAGGGAATAAAAGGGGTTTTTCATAACGGGTATTTTTGGTATTTTTGAAATTTTTAACCCGCATATGAGTTTCTAACTGACAGAAATCTAACGCCGGGTACCAAATTGTCCCAAATTGAAAGTTTGGGTACTAGATTGCCACGATTTAAAGTACAAGTACTAAATTGGCACTCGGCCTAAAGTACAAGGTACCTATCGGGAATTTACCACTCCTTAGTGAATTTTTTACCTTTTCTTTGAATTTAAAGGTGACCTACAAACTGTTGACTAGGTCAAACGGTTCAACTGTCTGGATCAACGATTTTCTAACTTTTCAACATTTTTTTTGACAAATAGCAGTTCAACACATAACTAAAGGTCCAATCCGATTTTCAAAACAGTAATCCTTGATACTGCTTAAGGATGATCCATATTTGATCCCTTTATAATTTGATCGAATATGATATAGGCCATGTGGCCCCCATTCGATTCATATATTCCAATTCCATTCACGTGTGTTCAAATCAGCCCTCCACAAAAGTGCCCCCCACAACGTCCCACAGCACATCCCCACCGTGTATTGGGAACATCTCCCGATGATGATATCATCATTTCTGCGATTATCATCGAGAGATGTTCCCAATACATGGGGGGCTGATTTGGTCTCCATTCACGTGGGGTCGAATTTTTTTTTCCAAAGTTTTTTAATCATATTCCACATACAGATAAAATGTAAAAGACAAAAGTAACTTTAACTATTTATTAAATGTTTTAAAACATGCTATTTTTTTTCTTCTCTCTCTTCCTCTTTTAGTAATTCGCCATGTCACATTAGTTTTCTTTTTCTTCTCTCTCTTCCTCTTCTAATAGGTCGCCATGTCACATTGTTTTTTAATCATATTCAATAAATTTTATCTAGTACCTACCGTTAATTAACTGTTAACCAGCCGTTAAATGGCATTTGAAAAAGAGACATTAGATTTGAGAATTTTCTCAAATCTAAAACATTTTTAATTTCAGTTAAATTTTTCCAAACGGCCTACCTAATTTGGATGCATTAATTTGGTGAACCCAGTAACATTTTTAGTTTAAGTTGAATAGGTAGTATGTTAGTGCTCCAAATAGGGGATTATGTCTTTTACTCAGAAATCCATCTTTGTCCATGGATGGCAACCGTGATAAAGAGTGTTTTAAGCAAATTTCTGGAGAATGCACAACACTTTTGGACCTTCGATGTAAAACTTTCTTATCTAAGTTCTCTGAATTACTTTCTATTGCAAAAACTATGTTGGTGAAAGGTTCCCCCAAGTTTCTTCTCTTGACGTTGATTTAAACAACCAAATATGAAATCTAGGCAACACCCAGAAACAAGAAGATAAACAGACCCTACAAACTCGTCAAGAAGACCAAGCACATTAGAGTAACAGAGAGTGTAGATATTGATGTCCCTCAAACTCGTCAGGTCTAAACATGGAGGAACATAACCTCTCTGTTTATAGTTTGTGGGGTTTTGGTTTTTCTAATAGAAGTTGGGGCAATATTGATATTATGAGATAATTTGTAGTAAGGTATTAACACTTCTTAACGTTTTACCAAAAAACAATTCTTAACGGGTGGAGTAAGTGCAGTCTACTTATCCCTAAATAATGGCGTGGCGCGAAGGTCCCTTGACTCTGTTTCATGAATATTTTGAAGAAGTAAGGAATCTTTGACTTGGATTCGTAGCAGCTGAAGAGGAAAAGCGAAAGGAAGGAAGACAAAACATTTAAAGGAAAAAAAAAAGGTAAAGCAGTGTTTCGATCTTGTTTCCTATTATTAGTTAAATAATTACTCTTTCTGTCTTTCATAAAGTAAACGCCTATATCAATCAAATTTAATCTTTGATGCAGAGAACAGCAATTTTAAGTTTTAACAGATCGATCAAAGTTTTTCTGGCATAGGGAGTGTGGTTTTCAGGGTTTGATGGCTGACTTGGTAGGGGGAAGCTTGTTAGGGGCTGTAGCGGGAGAGCTGTTAAAAGCGGTTATAGATGTGGCGAAGAAGGCCGTCCAATTCAAGGAGCAATTAGAACGTCTAAAATCTACACTCGAAAACATACTTCCTCGCATCGAAGAAGTACAACGGTTACATGGACAGATTACAGATTTGAAGACGGATACGGACATCGAAAGGATGATTCAGGAGTTAAAGGAAGGGCAAGTGCGAGTTCGGAAGTGCGAGAAGATCTCCAGCTGGAACTACTACAAGAAGTACCGCTACTCGAAGATGTTTATCAAATTGGATGAATCTTTGTGTAGGTTCTTTCAGTTGAATGTGCAGGCGGATGCCTGGCTCGATAACAAAAAGCTTTTGGTTGAATTCAAGGAAATGAGTAGGAAATTCGAAGCAGTGAGCTTTGGCGACACAGGCCCTACTTGGGGTTTCATTTCTGCGGGATCCGAGAGCATTGGATCACAGGAATTGAATTTGTGTGCGGTCCCTGAACTCCCGAGTCTGACTGTTGGACTCGATGTGCCACTGAAAGAATTGAAGATGATGTTGTTGAGGAAAGATGTGAAGGTGCTGGTACTATGTGCTCCCGGCGGATGTGGCAAGACAACATTGGCCACCATGCTTTGCCAAGACGAGCAAGTGAAAGGTATGTATGGATACCAAATACCAAGTTTTTTCTGTGTTTGGTTTTCTTCACTTTCTTTCTGTGGCAAGTGAGTGATTACTTATCCAGCTTGCGTCCCATCTAATTGCGTTTTGCACTTACTGTATCTAAAAGACGATATTCAAAAGTCAAAACACGGCATAATGAGTAACAATTAGGGATGCTCTTTTTTGTAACCGAACCGGTACTACCGGTTTTCCATTTTTTATTTTTAAAATATATATATAATAAAATATTATATTTTAAATAATAAATAATATAGCATATATTATAAATATATATAATGCATATTTATTAATTTATAATATATAATATACATAAAATATATAGAAATATATATATACCGGTCAGTTCGGTTAACCACCGGTTTTCTATATTGATTAACTGAAACAGAACCGGTACCTTTGGTTTTTTTAAAACACTGAACCGAAACCAAACCAACCAGTTCGGTTAACTGATTTTTCAGTTCAGTTTCAGTCAGTTTTTCGGTTTTTTTTTTTTTTTTTGCTCACCCCCAAGTAACAATGAACATAGAGTTGGCCAAGGACTGGAGGATACAAATGAAATTGGGACCAAAGTTATTCTGGAATGCATGGAAATCCAATGCAGGTTGATGCATAAGAAAGGGAGGGACCAAATAACCTCTTTCCAGATTCATGTAATTTTGCCTGTGAGTTCTGAATGCGCCAACTTGTCTTAACATACTGTGTTTAAATTCCACTCTCTTGGTTTCCCCCCCTTACCATTCTTAACTGGGGATTATCCTACAGGATTCCCACTTCCTAAACAAAGAGGTTATTCAAATGACATTATTAGACATTACAGACTTCTCAGTGAAGTTGTCAATGCAATTAAAGAATTTTAACAGTGCTCTCCCTTTAAAATTTTCAGGGGTACAAAATTTCTTTAAAGATAAACAAATATAAATTAATAATGATTTTGGTTAGCAATAATAGTTAAATAAAACACTCATCAATTTAGTACTCCACCTAACATGTTCAAACCACACATCGGGCCTATGGAAGTTTATCATCAGAAAAATGTGCCCCTACAGATTCCAGCCCACCTAATAGTTGTTGTGAAAATCTTGCGGTCTAAGTTTGCAGAATCATATTATAATTCTCTGAAACACGTATGGTTTCCTGTTTACATTCCTATCTTTTTCTGTTGCTCATGAACCATTTCCAGAACAAAAACATTTGATTATTTCATTTTAGGTAACTCATTTGATTCACTAAGAATTATATATTTCAACCCAAAACTGGGTCACAATTTTCTGTAAATCCCAGTGCCCAGAAATTCAATTTCATGCTTCTCTTTGCTCTTTTAAGCTCTCTTTTAAGTAACCATCATGAAGTTGTCACATGGTGCACTATTCACTTGAAGATTAATCATGTTCCCTTCCCTTCCAGTATTGCTTCCTCTATGGAAGGATGAAATATTTTCACTTCCTCTGGTGGGGAAACTAAAGCAAAGTTATGTCAGTTTGTACATGTCACTCTAGTATCCTATCCATCTGTTCCATATGTTTTTGTCAGCTTGCAAGTGGTTGATTAACAGCGTTTTTTTGTTGTTTATCAAATGATTGTGTTGTACTTTTGCTTTCTTTTCCCATGTGGCTTTTTTTGGTCCCCTTCTTTTGCATACATCAGTAGGAACATTGTGTCAGTGGCAAATGTCTTGTACTTTTCTTGTGCAGGTTTATTCAAGGAAAACATCTTCTTTTTAACTGTTTCAAGCTCCCCCAACTTGAAGGTGCTCATACAGAGATTATTTGAACAGATTAGTGGACGTTCACCACCCGAGTTCCAAAATGATGAAGATGCAATTAAGCAGCTAGGAGACTTGTTCAAGAAGAGAAAACAAGATGACATATTGTTGGTTCTAGATGATGTTTGGTCTGTATCAGTTATTGAGAAACTTGACTTCAAAAAAGAGGGATTTAAAATGCTGGTCACATCTAGAACTGAATTTAACGCATTTAGGACCACATATTTTTTGAAGATGTTGAATGACAGAGATGCCATGACTCTCTTTTGTCATGAAGCGTTCCCACAAGATGAGAATGCGAACAGTGAGAGGCCAGAAGAAGAACTTATAGAAAAGGTGCTTTATCTGTCTGCCACCTATGTGGATCATATGCACTAGCATATAACTTTTGCACTTGTCTCCCAAATACATGAATATATATGTATGTACACTCCTTTTTCCATCTATACAAGCACAGTACACAAATACATTTTCTTTTGAATTCTTACTGGATGATATTTGAAGCTAAAATTTGGGTTTCAAAACCATTACAAGAAGATCAATTCAGATTACTGATCAAGAAAAATAGGAAGACCAATTTCAGAATATACAGTTTCTGGAAAGAAGAGTAACTCTATTTACTGCATTTCTCCATTTATTTCATTTTCATGACATGGGACATAAATGCAATTAGTGGGTATTTCACTTTACACAAGACAGGGAGGTAGATTTATCTGCACCTTTACAAATCAAACAGTTTCAAGAGTCTTAAGACTTACAACTGAGGGGATCAGTGTCATGAAAACATACACACTTTTTCCTGAGAAATTTGATGAATTATTTTTGTACCCATTGTGACATTAGGGATGCAAGTTGGGTTGCCCTATTTGGAAAATTTCAACTACATTGGGTTCAGGTTTGGTTATATTGAAATTTTATCAGATTCCCAATCCAACCTGACCCAAGTTGAAGCCCTCCGTGGCATGTTGTCAACTGTTGGCCATATACGTAGGAGTATTTGTTTATAATTCAAAATGCAGGCATACAAGATCCTTGTTGAACTACATGTTTGAAATAAATAGGAGGATTTTTTTTGGTAATAAAATAAATAGGAGGAAAAGGAATTACTTTTACTCCTCCATCCCACTCCCCAAACAGGTTTAAATGCTAGATATTTCTACATTCAAATAGGACCACAAAGTAAGCTTTTTACAATATATATTGTCTTTCTTCTTAAGTTTCCCCTGAACTATAATTATTTATGCTTAATGGCATTGGATTGCAGATAGTAAGAGCATGCAAGGGATATCCCCTGACTCTTAAGGTGATTGGCCACTCATTGCGCTGGCAGAATCCAAGGAAATGGCGGCAGACAGAGAAGATACTATCAACAAGTTGCTCCATATTTAAGGATCACAGTGAAGATCTTCTGGATCGCCTCTCAACCAGCTTGTCTTTCCTGAAAGATACTGCTCGAGAATGTTTCTTGGATTTTGGTTCATTTCCTGAAGACCAAAGGATCCCTGCCTCTGCTCTTATAGATATTTGGATTGAGCTCCACAAGCTAGATGGTGAAGATGATGTATATGCTAACCTCCTTGAACTTTCCCAGAGGAATCTCATTAATCTGATTGAATGTCCAAGGTGTGTTGGATTTATTTTTATGCCTGCAGGGTGTGGTTAAAGTTCATTGCATATGTAGGCCTTTTAATTGGTATGCATGTATTTATTGTTTTTCTTTTTCACATCGTATTTTATTGATAGTGACAGCAGTTTTTTTTTCCAATTCTCATTATTAATCACAGTTATGTGCTCATTTATGTGTTCATTTATTGATATGACAGGTTTTCTTATTCAAAAATACTAATCTTAGGTTAGGCTGGTCTTGACCATAGTTGTCAAGGTGTCTAGGCGATTCTGAGCAACATTGGGGCACCTAGTTTCCTAGGCAATAAGAATTTTATAAAATAAAGAAATAACTTTTGCCTAGTTCCCTAATTTTATATACCATTCAGCATGCATATCAATAAAAAAAGCAAACTAAATAAGGCTATTAGCTTTATAATGATAAAAAGTTCAAGATGGAAAGCAAAATGGGAAAAAAATAATGATGGAGTTGTGGTTTTATTTTAATAGAGAGAGAGAGAGAGTAGAAAAAAAACAAAAAAAAAAGAAAGAAAAAGAAACCCCTCTATACTTCTTTCTTAAACCCTTTTATCTTTTAAATTTCAATAGTAAAGCATTAAAACAAAGTATATATGCAGTATATAATAGAATGCATAAAACACATCAATAAGATATTAGTAATTTAAATGATATTATGATAAGGCGCTCACCTTGTCATTTTTGTTGCCTAGGCGACACCTTGACAACTATGGTCTTCACTATTTCTGGCGTAGTCCTGGTTTAGATAAGGACCTTCACATCCTATTAATATTGGCTCCTTGTTCGGTGTGTTGGCATAGGCAGAGTCCCCTGCAATGTTTGAATTGATATATTTATAATTTGTTTAGTGCAAGCTTTTTAAGTATGAATTTGTATAGCTAGCTAATATTTAGATTGAAAAATAAATACATTTCGTGTTAAAGCTTGTGTGTTGAAATCAATAAATGGCATTTGACTGGTGTCAACTGTTACCATAATCATTTGCAATTTTCGCCTAGGAATGATGCAGGGGATCTTGATGGAACCTTCAACGGGCTATATGTTTTCCAGCATGATTTGCTCAGGGACTTGGCCATCTACCAGAGCCAGCAGCATCAGCAAGACATAAAACATAGGAAGAGACTATTAATGGAGAGGAGAGATGATGACCTTCCCAGAAGCTGGTGGGAACAAGAGCATCAGCACATCAATGCCTGCCTTGTTTCTATCCTTACAGGTTTTGTCATATTCATGTTGTATGTCATACTGCTTCTTTTCTATCAGGTCTTGTTTTGCATCATGACTTACAATTACATGGTATGTCCTACAGGTGAAATGTGTTCCTCAAGTTGGCATCATATGCAACTTCCTGAGTCTGTGGTTCTAATTCTGGATTTCTTGGGTATGAACTACTCCTTACCCCCATTCATGGAGAGTATGGGCAAGTTGAAGGTTCTCATTGTTACAAACCATGGGCACAGACATGCTAAACTTGGTAACTTGTCGGCTCTTGGTTATCTAGCTGAACTAAAGAGGATCAGGTTAGAGAAAATTTCACTTCCTTCCCTCGATAGCATCATAATGTCCTTAAAGAATTTGCATAAGATATCATTGGTTATGTGTGATGTTGGCGAAGCCTCGAGGAATTGCACTGTCAAGATCCAAAATATGTTGCCAAATCTCACTGAAATTGACATTGACTACTGCAATGATCTGGTCGAGTTGCCTCCAGGGATCTGCAGCATCCACTTGCAAAAGCTCAGCATCACCAACTGTCATAATTTATCTACAATACCTGACAATATTGGATTTATGACAGGCTTAGAGGTGCTAAGGCTGCATGCATGTACAGGAATTTTAGAATTACCGGATTCAATCAGAAGACTCCAGAAGTTAAGATTTCTTGATATATCTGATTGTTCAAACATAGAGAGGTTACCTGAAGGGATGAGTGAGCTATGCAGTTTGAAAACAGTAGACATGAGGAGGTGCTTAAGAGTAAGGGTATTGCCAAGTTCAGTATTGAACCTTCAGAATCTGAAGGATGTGATTTGTGATGAAGAGACAGCTAGCCTATGGGAACCTCTCAGGATTCATCTCACCAAACTCAAAATAAAAGTACCTGAAGACCACATCAGCTTGGATTGGCTGGGGATTGATCTCAGAAGCCACAATTTTTATTGACAGCATGCTTTTCTTTTTTTTTTTTCACTCAGAAGCAGTGCTTGTCACCTTCATGTATTTTATAACACTCCAGAAGGAGGTGAACATTCTAAACTCTTAAGGCTGTGTTTGGAATCAGTGTAAATCAAGAATGGCGTAAAAGTTTACACTGGTTTGATTTTGCCCGCGTTTGAAAAGAGAATGTAATCATGATCAACATAAAACTCCACTCCGGTTCAGTTTTGCGTATGCTTGGATGGAGTAGAGTTTTACGTCGATAATCGATGTAAAACCTATCAAACGTAAAGTTTTACATTGATTATCAATGTAAATACTACATCAATTTTATCGATATAAAACTTTACACTCTTCACCCATCACGTTTTTCAAAAAGCAACGATCACTTTCACGGTTCAGTGTAAAACGTCATCGGTGTAAAAGTACACCGATGACGTTTTACACTTGTTCCTAACGCAGCCTAAGATTTTGTTTTCATCAAAAACATAAAAAAATAAAATTGTTCTTAACATTTTGTGTTCTTCATTGCATACATTTCAATATTGGCAAGTAGAAATAAGTGTTTTTTAAGTACTAAGATACTTCTTCTGTACTAATAGTACTTCTTTAAAAAGCTAGTTTTGAACAATTTTAGTGGCCTCCTGGATTCTTCAATGGGTTTTAAAAATTTGAAATGTGGAAAGCCCTAGCCCTGGAAAAGAGTTGGGTGTAGCAGGACAATTATGTAAAAGGGAATATCCAATATTCCAATTTATGATATTAAATGTAGTTGGTGTACCCAGTAAACAGGTTTCTATTTTCTACCAGAGAGATTGTTTAGGAAGAATCTATGCAACCTATGGTATTACATGTGGTTGGTCTACTACTCAGTAAAGAGATATCTGTTGTCTGTTAGGCCAATTGCTTAGGAGAGATGCATTAAACTCATCTATGCCATTTTAGGACATGGTACACTAGTCCAGAAAGGCAGAAATCCTTTTCCTCTGAGAAAAGAAAAACTGGAGCTTTCTGTGATTCATACAACCTAATTAAATGATAAAACCAACAAGTGCCATTTAGGGGGCTTTCTTGGATTTTGAGAGGGGGGAAAGTTGGTCAATGGGATTTTGGTTCTCATTGACCAAGAATCCCATGTTGTTTTTTCATATTTATGTGAGGACCAGAGAAAGTTTATTTTCCTGTGTATACATCTCCCAGGTGGATAAATAACTTTCCCACCTAGGGGAAAAGTTGTCAACACTTGAATGGGACAAAAATGCCCTTTTTAATAATGGATTTTTATAGCTAAAATAGTCATTGCCTTATTTACATGAGAAATAAAAGAATATGGGTAAATGCACTTACCGAGTAGGAAACACTTACCTAAGTAACTGCATTTACCCAAATAAATAATTTACCGAAAAGCAAACGAGGCCTTATAGATGTATGGTTGATGTGTACCATATGGACCTGGGTTCGGCCATTTATTGTTCGCATACATGACTCATTTCCGCAAGTAGCTAAAATAGGATAGATGATCTAGAGAAGGATGCTATTGTTCGCATTTTCAGCGGTTTGGCCATTTATTGAACAATATGGACCTGGGTTTAGTTTTTTCCCCCTCTTTTGAGAAAGCCCTTAAGCAGTTTCATTCAATCAACTCAACTCATAATTAATGTCCCATACAACTGAAAAGCATAAGAAATCAGGTATAATAGATCACATTTGTTAGGCCTAATGGGTCTTGATAGGACACGTATTGCTTAACTATAACCACCGAAGAGGCGAAGAGCACCATGTTCTGCATGGAAACATAACTTATATTAAAAAATACATTAATATAAATTAAACCAGGGTTTTAGGCCAAATCAGTAATGGGAACAGAAACCTAGAATTGTGATGTACAATGTTTAGAATGATTAGGAAGAAAAATGAGAATTTTATGGATGGATTTGGTCTCTCTTTGACTTATGAGGTTAATTTGAGAAATGGATAGAAGACCTAAAGAAAGGGTAAATTTGAAATCACTTGTATGGAATAATGCAAACCCAACTAAATGACAAAAAAATAGATTAAGAATAGAAAGAGGTACAGGTGGAGTTTGCATAAAAGAAATTCCTATAACTCTGTTGTTTGATTTAGTGCAAATGCATGAGAGCATAAATTGGGAAAGTACAAATTTTGGTTCACTTTAGTTTCAAGTTTTACTATACTTGGTTTGTCTGACATGCAAATAGGGAGTGCAAATGCATGGGTGTGCAAATGACTCACCTTATATGGAAGAAAATGAAGGTGATTCAAATTTTACATTAGTTTTTAGTATGCAAAAAAAAAAAAAAAAAAATGCAGCACCAGTAAGTGCAAAGTAAGAAAGTAAAAAATTTTGTATGAAGTCGGGGTACTAACTCTACAATGAGTCCATGCAAATCTTAACCGGGTGAAAATTTTGCACCCGATTTGGATTTGCACCACTAACACACACTTTGAATGCATACAAAACAAAAAGTAGGCAGGTAAAGGGAAGAAGTCAAATCAAGAATTATTCTGGGGTTCTGATACGGATTAAAAAAAAAATGATCAGCCATTGTTTGACAAATCTTTCCCCTAAGACTCAAGTGACGACTGCTAGATGGGATTTCTGCAAAGCAACCGTGTGGACTGGAAGAAATCTGTAAACTGCTCCAAAGCAAAGCAACCGTGTGGACTTATAAGTCATGCGTGTTCAACATGCTGAGATTGGGTTTCGGCGTCTTGGGGGAGATCGGCTTCAATCAGTGCAAGACTGTTCAACATGCGTGTTCAACATGCTGAGATTGGGTTTCGGCGTTTTGGGCGGGAGATCGGTTTCAATCAGTGCAATACCCGTTCAAATACTGTTCGAACAGTTTTTACGACCTTGCCTCGGGAATATCTCCGCATTTTTATACTTTATTTTTATTTCCTGAGAGATATTCCCAATGTAAAGCTATGATGATTGTTTGAATGGATTTTGCACTGATTGAATCCCATTTCCTTGGGCGATAGGAGTAGGAGCACCCACATCACATCAGTTTGTCTGGATTTGTGAAATTGCAAATTACAGAGGCCGCCCTTTCCCCAGCCAAGCTTAACTTGAACGACTCCACGCCGAACTAGAACCAGGGATTGATCATTTGGGGTTCACCATCCCATACTAAGTGACAGAAGACTGAAGTCTATTAGAGTGTGTGAGAATTGAAAAATCGAACTGAACCGATGAAATCAAACTGAAAAATTAGGTTAACCAAATCAATCAACCAGTATATATATATATATATATATATATAACCAAAAAACCAAAAGAATCAAACAGATCAATTGATTTTCCGGTTTTCAAAAAACCAGTGGTACGGTTCCATTTGAAAAAAAAAGATAAATTACAGATAGATACCCTGTGTTCTTGGGGAATTGATAGATAGGTACACTAAACTTTCAAAAATAAACACTTGAATCTATCTACTAGTATTCTGTTGGTTAAACATTATATAATGTCAAAATACCTTTTTCATGTATTTTTTAGGTCATTCTACAAAGTAAAATCATCACCAAAGAATGCCGTCGTCAAAAAATTGAATATATGATCGTGGTGAAAAGTTTGATTAACTGAAATGATGTCAGAAATACATGAAAATAATACTTTTGACATTATGTAATATTTAACTGACGGAACAAAAAGACTTAAGTATCTATTTTTCAGAGTTTAGGGTACTCAATTGTTGTAATTAAATGTTTAAGATACTTATCTGTCACTACCTACCCCAAAGTAGAGGATACCTATTTGTAAATTTATCAGTTGACCTGTATTGTGAACATTATTATATCGAGGATGATTGCAGGAAATGATCCACAGACCACATTGTTTATTGGTGATTGATGATTGATGATTGCTTAATAAAAGTTAAAACATTACAAATGTCAATGCAGGTATATTCGTAAGCTCTTTCTTTATTGTAATTTGAAGTCTGAAGTCTGAACAGAATTAAGCCGCTTTACTTTATCCTTCAATTGTTCCAAGAGTGACAAGGAAGTAATACGGATTTACTCACAGCGAAGGTTCCCTCCTAGTTGCCGATCAATGTAGTTGGGAATGGAACAGGCAAAGCAATGGGGAGGATAAATTCCTAAAACTAAGATAATAGGCATCTCTCTGTAACTCTCGAGAAATCAGCATCAACAGAGATTGGTTGAGAAATATTGATCTGGAACAGAGCAAAGTCTCTTACTTCGAAATTAGGTGCTCTCAGGCTTCCGTTGAGCACGAAGTAAAAACTCACAGATGGCAAGTTTGGTAGGAGGGGCTGCGTTAGGAGCTTCGTTTGGGGTGGCAGCTCAACTTTTGTCGGACGCGATCAAGGAAGCCGTGAAGAGCGTCAAAAACTTCAAAAAAGATCTTCGGAGGCTCGATTCCACACTTGATAGGGTGAAACCTCGGATTGAAGAGGTGAAACTGTTGGATGAGAAGTTAAAAGATAGCTCCAAGGCCAATATAGCTTCATTGACTCAAGAGTTAAAGGAAGGGGAACAACTGGTTCGAAAGTGCGGAAAAATTGGGAAGTTGAATTGCTACAGGAAGCTACGGTACTCGTCGAAGTTGCTAAAATTGGAACAATCTCTGAATCGCTTCTTTCAGTTGAATGTGGAGTTGGAAATTTGGCGCAACAGCATACAGATTGAAGTTTATTTAGAGCAGATGGATGGTAGACTCGACAGAATGGACGGTAATTTGGACATGGTGGCGAGCAAACTGAATGGCGCACAGAGCAAACTAGACGTGGTGGGGAACAATGTCATTGTAGTGGGGAATCGGTTGGGTGTTAAACTGGAGGAAATGGGGAGTGAATTGAAGGACAAATTGGATTATGTAGCGAATGGAATCAACAGTAAATTGAATCAATTCAGAACGGATGGAGCCGAGGTTTGTGCGATTCCTGAGCCCCCAAGTCACATTGTTGGATTCGATGTGCCGCTGAGAGAACTGAAGAGGGAGTTGTTTCGGGAAGATGTGAAAGTGCTTGGACTGTGTGCTCTTGGTGGGTGCGGCAAGACAACGTTGGCAGCCAAGCTTTGCAAAGACGACGATGTAATAGGTATTGGATGTCATTCACCAAAATCCTACTTTCCTTCTTTCGGTTTTGTTTATTGTATCTAAAGAATGATCGAAGCCTCGAAGGGATGGATTATTGGCATGCAAGCCAGCAACACTAAATCTGTGTTGAAATGTCTAAATCCCCTAATACCCTAGAATAGAGATGATGCAAACAGCTGATACAAAATCTGATGATCCTCATCACCACCTCGTCTTTGAAGGGAAAACAGAGACAAGAAAAACTGCTTACAAAGTTTTGGCGTTCTTCAACTTCTAAGACTAATTAAAATTCCTTTTTCTTTAGGAAGCTTAATTTTTAATTTTTTTGGCTCCTTTTGGTAAGACTAGTTAGAGATTATTATTATTATAATGCCATAATCCTTTTTCTTTCTGGTTATTGCTTTGTTTACAAGTAGCAGTTACAACATTCTGCGAGTGGATTTGTCTGACATTGTAGTGACAGGCTTTTTCAACACAAACATCTTATTTTTGACTATTTCAAGCTCGCCCAAGTTCGAGTTGATCATACACAGATTATTCAAAAAGATATGCGGATCAGCACCCGGGTTCGTAAATGATGAAGATGCAATGAATCATCTGAGAGAACTGAAACAGTTCAAGGAGCAACTAGACCCTATGCTGTTGGTCCTGGATGATGTTTGGCCAGAGTCTGAGGTGTTCCTTGAGCGACTTAGACATGTCTTTAACACAGGAGGATGTAAAATGGTGGTCACATCAAGAAGTGCGTTACAATCCTTTGATTCCACATATACATTGAAAATGTTGAGCGACGAAAATTCCATGGTTCTCTTTAGTCACCATGCTAACCTGCAAGACAAGAATGGAAATAGCAGGAAGCCAGAGAAGGTGCTTTATCCATCTACCACTTACATGAATACATGCATACATACACTCTAGAATACAATTATAGCCTGTTTCACTTATGTCAAGCATTCATGGCTCCATGCATGGCACCACTGCCTTGAAAGAGCACTTTCGTGTAAAGCAGGTTTTCTGCACTAAATTGAGGCAAATGCTAGCATCACATAACCCTTCAAAATCACAAAAGAACAAGTAATTACACCAACCCCATCAGTCTGTAGTCTATACCCCCCCTCCCCTCCCCTTCTTCTTTGCATAAAAACCCTTGGTTTAAGGTCTTCATGGCCAACAAGACCCATGCTGGATCCTGGATGCTTAACTCATGAATTAATTAGTTTTTAACGGTATTTATGTAGGAGTTGTCTAGCTCCTCTGGACTAAGATTGTCTTTGCTCAATGGCATGGAGTTGCAGATGGTGAGAAGTATAGTGAGAGGTTGCAAAGGATCCCCCCTGGTTCTTGAGGTTATTGGCCGCTCACTGCGAGAGCAACCTCTGATGATATGGCAAGACACAGAGAGGATATTATCGTCAGAAAGTAGTTCAATTTTTGAGTCCCATGATCAGATTCTAAAATGTCTAGCACGCAGCTTAGATGTCCTAAATTACACCGCCAGACAATGTTTTCTGGACTTGGGTGCCTTTCCTGAGGATCATAGGATTCCTGCCTCAGCTCTTATTGATATTTGGATTGAACTCCATAAGCTACATGATGAAAATGGGGCATTCAGAAACCTCCATCAACTTTCCACCCATAGTCTTGTTAATCTAATTGAAGGCACAAGGTATGTTTGTTCCTTCTTTAACCCAATTAATTTCCATCCAATCGGGGAAGAATTATGAATCCTCCAAGAATAAGTGTATCTACCGTGAAAGCTCATTTGCTATTTTTTACAGGAAAGATGCAGGGGAACTTCATTGTAACTTAAACAAGCTGTTTGTAGTTCAGCATGATCTGCTCAGAGACTTGGCTATCTACAAGAGCCAGCCGCAGAACCAAGACATAACACAGAGAGAGAGACTTGTAATGGAAAGAAGAGAAAATGATCTTCCAGAAATCTGGAAGGACCAAAAGGATCAACGCCTCAGTGCCCGCCTCATCTCAATTCTTACAGGTTTATTACAATCATGACACCCCAAATGTTGCTTTGTGGTATTATCTTTCCTCTGTATCGTGGCTGACAGGCCATGGCTTGCAGGTGAAAGGTCTCCCTCAAACTGGTGTGATATGCAACTTCCAGAGGCTGTGGTTTTAATTCTGGATTTCTTGGCAATGGAATACTCAGTACCCCCCTTCTTAGAGAAAATGGGAAAGCTCAAGGTGCTGATCATGACAAGTCATGGACAAAAACCTGCCAAACTCAAAGGAGGCTTGCAGGCACTAGGTAATGTAGCCCAACTGAAGAGAATCAGGTTAGAGAAGATTTCAATTCCTTCGCTTACAGTGCCACTGAAGAATTTGCGAAAGATATCATTGGTTATGTGTGAGGTTGGCCAAGCCTTCTCTAACTGTACCATGGAGATCTCCAGCATGCTACCAAATCTCATCGAGCTGAACATTGACTACTGCAATGATCTGGTGGAATTGCCACCAGGGATCTGCCATGTCTTCCACCTGCAAAAGCTGAGCATCACCAACTGTCATAATTTATCCAAACTTCCTGAAGAGCTCGGATATATGACTAATTTAGAGGCGCTAAGGCTACATGCATGTACAGGACTGTTACAGTTGCCGGAATCGATCCGGAATCTACACGAGTTAAGGTTTCTTGATATCTCTGAATGTGTGAGCATGGAAAGCCTATCCCAAGGGTTGGGTGAGTTAAACAGTTTGGAAAAGCTCGACATGAGCAGTTGCTCAAGAGTAAAGGAATTGCCAAGCTCAGCCAGCAACCTTCGGAATCTAAAAGTGATTTATTGTGATGATGAGACAACCAGTCTGTGGAAACGCCTCCAACTTCCCGAGCTTAGCATAGAGGAGCCTGAAGAGGATATCAATTTGAGTTGGCTTGGGATTTGAGCCAAATAAGAAACCACAATCTTCTTTTGTGGAGGGCTTTGTTAGGATTAACTGATTAAGACAGAAGCAGTGAGCAGACCCCACCTTCCATCCATATGTAATGGCATTTGTATGTACCAACAAATAAATTAATACTACCTTTATATCTAGATCATGCATGTTTTCGGCAATTGTACTTGGACCCTGATTCATGCTGGATCTAGCTAGATGGTAAGGGCAGAAATTTATGGTCCAGAATTGGCCTCAGCAATTACGCCATATTTGGTTCAACTCTTATCCTTGTTTATTCTTTTCAATGATAAAATTTTAGAACAGACAAAAATAAATGTTGTTTTTTCCCTAAACAATGAATTTTTTTTGTGACAAAAATGAAAATAAATTTTGAATATATTTGGCTATAAATTTAATTTTTACAATTTTTCATCAACCAAAATAATAATATATGTATATTGTAATATACAAACAATGCCCATTAAAAGGTATATAGTGAAAAAATGTAAGACCACCCAACTGTTAGACAGTTTTATATGCCCTTAGCTTCAATCCGATTTGATGTACTTTTGACATTTAGTGTAAATAAATAAAGWGCATGTTTGATTCATGTTGTTTGATATAATTCTATGTAAGACCCTAAAACTGGACACTTGATGAGACACGTGTTAGTTTTAAATGTTCACAGCCATTGGATAAGTCTGGGGAGATTTATCTTGCCAAGGCTGATACTGGTGTGCCGCCAAGTGTTGGGATGGCCTGTCTC